ATAGATAGGAGAGACATTTAAATAGATAAGTAGATAAATGGATAGATAAAGATAGATATAGATGATAGATAGACAGACAGACAGGTAGGTAGATAGGTAGGTAGGTAGGTAGATAGATGATAGAGAGATGATAGAAGATAAATATAGTAGATATAGATGATAGATTGATAGATAGATAGATAGATAGATAGATAGATAGATAGATAGATAGATAGGAGAGACATTTAAATAGATAAGTAGATAAATGGATAGATAAAGATAGATACATAGATAGATATTAATCACAGTCCATTTTCAAAAAAAAGATGGCCTTCCTCTTGAGATCACCCTTCTCCATGAGGACTAGAACCCCTTCTTCTCCCTCTCCTCCTCCTTCTTTCCTGCAACCCAGGGGTGAAGTTGGGGCAGAGCAGAATCCTGCAGCCTCCTGTTCAACAGGTGAAGATCAACACAGGCACCTGAGTCCCTTTCGGCTGGGCTCCCAGTCCAACCCAGAAGGATCCGGCCACTGGCAGAACTTGGGTACCCAGTGTGGCATCCCTCCCTCCACCAGCTCCCCTACCCAGACCCCACCCGGTCTCGGTCGCCCGCCTGGATGCCCGCTTGGCTCCGGCTGTCTGTTTGCCGGGAGGGAAGGGAGGGGCAGGTGCTTCTGGGCTCAGTTTACCTTGGCGACCGTTGCTTAGGAGCCTGCCCCAGGTCGCCGGGCAACGGTTGCCAAGGAAGATTGTTGCCCTGGCCTGCCTGCCTGCCAGCCAGCCAGCCAGCCAGGCCAGCCAGGCCACTCTTGAGCCGGGAGGCGGCTGCAGGCCAGCATGGCGTCCACTTCGGTGCTGGTCAACCGGGAGGAGACGGGCGGGGTGGCCACGGGCACCTACTCCTACTGCAGCCAGCCCCGGGCACTGCCCAACCGCCAGCGTTACCGGACGACCCTGGAGGCCAATGAGCTGTGAGTACCAGCCAGGCCAAGGGGCAGCCCTGGAGGGTCTCCAGCCGGCAGAGAGGTCTCCAGTGTCCCCCCAAGGCTTTCCGGCTGGCTGGCAGGGAGGGAGGGAGGGTGGGGGGGTTGCCCCCCACCTCTGCGGCTAAGGGCAACGGCCTGGCTTTGGTCCTCCTGCTTTGCTCTCTCTCCTCCCTCCCCTTACTCAGCTGCAGACAGGGGTCCCCAAATCCGAGCAAACCCCCCCCCCCGCCCTCTTGGCTCTTGTCCCAGCCAAACTACATGCTGGGGGCACCGGGTGGGGGTGGAGGGGGGGGTCCAGCATCACTTTGGAGATGCCCGCTGGGTCAAACCATTCGCAGGAAAGCAAAGACACGCGCCCCCTTTCCAACACCCCATTTCTCTCCCCCCTTCCCCAAACCCTAAAGAGCATCTAATGGCCCCGGTTTGTATAGTTTCGTCTCCTCTGGGTTCTGGGTTCGAGTTCAGAAAGGGCTCGGCCGTCCCAAAAGTGGTTGAGTCCCAGGAACTGCCCTGGATGAGCCTAGACACACACACACACGCACACAAAGCAGTATTTTCTGCACAAACCTTTTGCCTTCTTCCTGGAGCTGGGAGAGGGGGGAAGACGGGGCCAAAGTTCCCCCGCCCCCAGGCTGGCATTGTGCCTAAGGCAGGACTCGAACTCAACGTCTGCCAGTTTCTTGGCTGGATGTCTTAACCACGAGAGCAAACTGGCTTTCTTTGGCTGAAAATTATCTACCTGCAGGGGCACCACAGACCAACCAGAATTACTACCAGAATGACAGTTTTGTAAGGGACCTTGGAGGTCTTCTAGTCCAACCCCCTGCTCAAGCAAGAGACCGTATGGTATCCCAGACAAATGGGTGTCCAGTCTCTTCTTAAAAACCTCCAGTGATGGAGCACCCACAGCGTCTGGTGGCAAGCCGTTCCCCTGGTTAATTGTCCTCACTGTCAGGAAGTTTCTCCTTAATTCCAGGTTGCTTCTCTCCTTGATTAGTTTCCATCCGTCACTTCTTATCCTGCCTTCAGGCGCTTTGGAGAATAGGTCGACCCCCCCCCTTCTTTGTGGCAGCTCCTCAAATATTAGAAAACTGCTGTCATGTCACCCCTATTGGCAAGCATCTTTTCCTGCTTTCACTTCACCCCAAAAATCAGTCTTTTGCAACCTCAGCAACTTGGAAGAGGGATGGACTTCAATTCCCAGAATTCCCCAGCTAGTGTGCTGGCTGGAGAATCTGGGAGTTGGAATAGAATAGAATAGAATAGAATAGAATAGAATAGAATAGAATAGAATAGAAAATATGGAATAGAATAGAATAAGAATTAGAATAGAATAGAATAGAATAGAATAGAATAGAATAGAATAGAATATAGAATAGAATAGAATAGAATAGAATAGAATAGAATAGAATAGAATAGAATAATAGAATAGAATAGAATAGAATAGAATAGAATAGAATAGAATAGAAAATATGGAATAGAATAAATTAGAATTAGAATAGAATAGAATAGAATAAGAATTAAAATAGAATAGAATAGAATAGAATAGAATAGAAAATATGGAATAGAATAGAATAGAATAGAATAGAACAGAATAGAATAGAATAGAATAGAATAGAATAGAATAGAATAGAATAGAATATTCTACACAATGTCGTTGTGTAACTCACAATGAAATTAAGTGCTATGCAAAGTGCACACTACACACAAGTAACAACCACAAATAAGAATATACATTATATACACACATCCTTCATACTCTATTCATCCTTGCGCTGCCCTTAATAGCACACCTCAATGTTGTACTATACTGTGGTATTTAATATGGTTACAGTTTTGGGATAAAAACTATTTTTCAGCCTCTTTGTCTTTGTTTTTATTGTCCTGTACCTTCTGCCAGATGGTAATAGTTAAAAAAAAAAAGAACGTCCGGGATGAGTCTGTAAGAATATTTTGAGCTTTCCTAGGACAGCGGGAGTTGTACAGTTCGTCCAAGTGGTGGGGGAGGAGAGGACAGCCAATAATCCTCTGGGCGATGGTAATGACCCTCTGGAGCGCTTTCCTATCTGCTACTGTGCAGTTGGCAACCCACACACAAATGCAATAAGTTGGTGAAGTTGACAAACCCTGTCTTAAATGCTAAGAGGTCAATCCGGGATATTTTTCACACAACTCCCCTTAAGCCCCATTTGTCTCTCTCCTAGATAGCATCGTATGAGGTCCAACTCCTAGTAACTGATGTATTTCCTTGGATTTGGGCAGCCTTCCGTCTTTGGCAATAAACACGAAGAAGCTATTTTCCATCTCCTCGCTAACGTTGTCTTCCATTTCGTTTATTCCAGGGAGGAGGAGCCCATTCGCTATGCCAATCTCATGTACGAGCGGAGAGTGGTCCGTGGCAACACGTATGCCCTCCACGTGTTACCTTGGGTGGGTCCTTCTTCCTTAACATTTTTCTTTTACTCGGGGAAGGGGGGGAAGTCAGTTTTAAATTAGGCATGCTCAGAAGATAGAAAATGTTTGGAACAATCATTTAAATAGGAGCCAGCCGTGTGCTGCAGCTGCCAAAAAAGCCAACACCAGTGCTAGGCTGCATTAACAGAGGGATAGAATCAGGATCACGTGAAGTATTAATACCACTTTACAATGCCTTGGTAAGGCCACACTTGGAATATTGCATCCAGTTTTGGTCACCACGATGTAAAAAAGATGCTGAGACTCTAGAAAGAGTGCAGAGAAGAGCAACAAAGATGATTAGGGGACAGGAGGCTAAAGCATATAAGGAACAGCTGCTGGAATTGGGTGAAGGACGAGGGGGGACATGATAGCAGTGTTCCAATATCTCAGGGGCTGCCCCAAAGAAGAGGGAGTCAAGCTATTCTCCAAGGCGCCTGAAGGCAGGACAAGAAGCAACGGATGGAAACTCATCAAGGAGAGAAGCAACCTAGAACTAAGGAGAAACTTCCTGACAGTGAGAACAATTAACCAGTGGAACCACCTGCCTCCAGAAGCGGTGAATGCTCCAACACTGGAAGTTTTTAAAAAGAGACTGGAGAGCCATTTGTCTGAAATGGTATAGGGTTTCCTGCCTGAGCAGGGGGTTGGACTAGATGACCTCCAAGGTCCCTTCCATTATTATTATTATTATTATTATTATTATTATTATTATTATTATTATTATTATTATTATTATTATTATTATTACTTAAAAACTTCCAGTGTTGGAGCATTCACCGCTTCTGGAGGCAGGTTGTTCCACTGGTTGATTGTTCTCACTGTCAGGAAGTTTCTCCTTAGTTCTAGGTTGCTTCTCTCCTTGGTTAGGTATTTAACATCCACTGCTACCAGCCAAATCCTGTGGGGGGGGTAAAAGATACCCCCACCCAATGCACGTGGCAGCTGTATTTTCCCAGCCTTAGGAGATCGCCCACTCCCCAAATGATAATCGCTTGAATTGCCCTTTTAATAAAATCCACGCCAACCTGAATTTAACCCTGAATGGCAACAGGAGGAGGAATCAGACAGGTACAGGTAAGTTCTCGACTTACCTCCAGCTTAAGAAAACATCTTTGGAACTCCCCGAAACTTGACAACACGGTTGTGGCTTGGCTTTCCAGAGCAGTGAGCCCGACCCGCTGGAGCTGCAGCGGCAGCGTGAAGCCCATCGGAAGATGCTGGCGAGGCAGAGGGCGAAGGAGCAGCTGCGGACCAGGACTCCAGAACCGCTGGAGGGGAGGCGCCACGTGGA